GACCATACATCCAAGTTCCTTATTTAGTCATCTCCCACCTGTTGGTGCAAAATGAACAGGTCCATCAATATGGAATATATAATAACAGGGAACCAAGGAACTAAAAATAAATAATTAAAAGTAAGAAATTAAATTATGGAATTAAAACTAAGGAGCTAACTAAAAGTAAGAAAGAACAAATGGCTTAGAGTCAAGTTCTATGACCTTTAGTTGAAATGATTGTGATTGTTGGTTGACCTTGAAACTGGCTAATAGACAACATGTTAGGAAAAGGGAATGAATGCCAGGGTTTAGATGGAAAGTTAAGAATTAGCAGGGATATGGCCAATCCATTTTTGGGGTGTGAATCCCAGCACTGATACCCAAGGGCCAAAAAGTATATTACTGTAGAGAATGTGGTAGGTCTCCCAGGCATCATACAGGGAAATAATAAAAGACAGACTAGCCAGAGATGGTCTTCTTTCCAGCACTCAAAACCCTATAAAAAATTCAAATGGCGAACAGGATATTTGAAACATTCAAAAATTGCTTGTGAATTGAATAATCTCTACAATAAAGATTCAATGTAATTTTCTAAATCATAGTAAAACTAAGGAAGGCCGACAGCTGCCTGCCTGAGTAGATGCCACAAAATGTCATCGATAATTATAAACGTTCAGATGATTGGATTTATTCCATTTTGTTGGAAAAAATACCTGATGTAAGAAAATCCTTATAGTATAGTATCAAGGAATGACAAGAAGAACACCACACTTTGCAAGCAAGATTTTAGAATTGATAAGAAGGCAAAGACAACACCCTGCTGAGTCACAGAAATGATCTGTTACAGAGAAGGTTTGCCTTTTCTTCCAGGAATTTTTGTCAACTTTCCAGTCTAGCCTGTAGTCCTAGAATTAAGCCCAGGTCAACAACTGTTAGCTTCCGGTTGCTCTGATGTCTGTAGTTATGAAAACCTTTGAAAGGTTAGTGCTGGTCCACCTGAAAACTATCACGGGTCTGCTGTTAGACCCCTTGCAATTTGTCTACCACACAAAGAGATCGGCATATGATGCTGTTAATATGGCACTGCACTATATCAACATCTTGAATCTCCAAGGATTCATGCAAGGATTCTTTTTGTAGACCTCAGTTTGGCATTCAATACTATCATTCCAGATATTCTTCTCACTAAACTGACTCAACTAGCTGTGCCTGACCACACCTGTAAGTGGATTATAAGCTTTCTAATAGACAGGAAGCAGCAAGTGAAGCTAGGCAAAATCGGATACCTGTACAATTAGCACAGTTCCCCCTCAGGGCCATGTGCTCTCTCCATTACTCTTCTCTCTATATACCAATGATTCCTCTGTTAAAGTACTGAAGTTTGCAGATGATACAATAGTCATTGTAGTCATTGGTCTCATTTGAGATGACGATGAATCTGCATACAGATGGGAAGTTGAACAACTGGCCCTGTGGTGCATCCGGAACAATCATAAAGAGATAATAATATATTTTAAGAAAAGCCCTCCTATTCTACCACCTCTTACAATACTAGACAACACAGTATCAACATTAGAAACCTTCACGTTTCTGGATTCTATAATCTCCCATCAAAAATGTCATTAAAAAGCATAACAAAGAATGTTCTTCCTACGCCAACTCAGAAAGCTCAGACTGCCCGAGGAGCTGCTGATATAGTTCTACAGAGGAATTACTGAGTCTGTCATTTGCACGTCTACAACTGTCTGGTTTGCCATAAAACCAAACAGGACAAACACAGACTTCAAAGAATAGGTAGACTACAGATAAAACAATTGATACCAGCCTGCCTTCCATTGAGAACCTGTATGCTGCACGAGCCAGAAAGAGGGCTGTGAAAATATCTACAGACCCCTCACATCCTGGACATAAACTGTTTCATCTCAAATTGTAGGATATCCTTTACATGTTAAAGAGGATCCCATGTGAAGGATGGGACATGTAATGGCACCTCAACATTGCTCACATTTGATGAAAACAGAATCTAACCAAACTTTGATGATCCTGAAAAAGCCAAGCAGGGTCACATCAGGAAGGATGTGCAGGGGGGATGACGGTACAGGCAAGACTAGAAGTTAAAAATATCCAAGATATAACGATAAACCTGCACAGTTGCTAAGATAACTATGTGGACATGTTTGTAAAATCATAGTCAACTCAAGGAAACTCTTAAACCTCTGTTGTGTAAATAGAAACTCAACATAGATAGACAAGAAAACTATATACAAGAGGAAGATTTATTTATTTATGAGATTGGCATGGCCACCCAACTTAAATAGTTGTGATTCTGGACAATATATACTAAAAAAAATTAAAATCATAACTACAAATAGATGCTCAGCAACCCACAAAATACATTAGACGCCTCTACCTGGGAACTCCAAAGATAAGCAGCTATGTCATGCTCTACTGAATATTATCTAGGAAGGAACATCAGCCTTATTTTTTGGCAGGTACTTCCATTGTGCTAAAAATTGATTCATTTCCACATTTCAGCATTATTTGCTAAATATTGTTTTCCCTATAGCTAAAGGAAAGGAATGATTAAAAACTAAAAGTATACTTTCAGCAGTGGGAGACATTGACACTATCTCTCCGTTTTCACGTCCCAAATAAACATACGATATATTTTTTTAGAACATCAAAGGATTTTATTTTACAAGATGGTTTTCTTTTCACATGTGAAATTAAAATATAAATTCATTCAAAAGATATTGAAGGTCTAATAAGAGATCAAAGGCTTGGATTGTCCTAGTATTTTTCCTCCCTGTGGATCTTTTAATGCTGATGATTGCTGGTTATTGTCACAGAGCTTACAAATTAGATTTGAAGAGATATTTGGAAACATACAATAGGGGCTATTGAAGATTTAACTGTGGAAAAATACAAGTAGCACACCTTTTACAGTACTAACAGCGTAAAGAAATAATGAACATGTGATTATTTCAAATGCTACATCATGCATGACAATCAACTTTTACTGTGCCAAGCTGAATGTTTTTCTAGACTGCTTGTGTCTGTGGAAAACTATGACTCAGTATCCAGCTCACATTTCTCTCCATGATTGCAAAATATTGATAATGGTCTTCTAAGTATGTATCTAGGCATGCAGGTTTGTTTTAGTTCTAGTCCTATCTTGGTCACAAAGCCAGCTCGATGACCTTGAGCTAAGCACTTTCTCTCAGCCTAGGAGGAAGGCACAGGCAAACCAGTTCCAAAAAAACTTGCTAAAAAACTGCAGGGAGTTGTCCAGGCAGTCTCTGGGATTTGAACAGGATTGAATGAAATACAGAGAGAAAAAAGGGGGGACAGAGAGAGCGAGGGGGGGAGAGTGAGAGGGAGGGAGGGAGGGAGGGAGAGAGAGAGAGAGGGAGGGAGGGGGAGAGAGAGAGAGAGAGAGAGAGAGAGAGAGAGAGAGAGAGAGAGAGAGAGAGAGAGAGAGAGAGAGAGAGAGAGAGAGAGAGAGAGAGAGAAAATGAGAATCTGCTTTTTTGGATCAACCAAGTGTTGACCACTGGCTTGTTGCCCAAGCATGTTGTGGGATGTGTGAGAGAGAGACTGGCCTAAAGTCACCCAGCCGGCTTTCATGCATAATGTGGGACTAGAATTCATTGTCTCCAGGTTTCAGTCTGGTGCCTTATCCACAAGATCAAATTGGCTCTCCCCCAGCTCCCCCCCTCTGTATATATGAATATATTTTAGACTAGCTGTACCCAGCCACGCGTTGCTGTGGCTCAGTCTGGTAAAAGTGTGTGTTGCTTTTACGTCCAACAGATGACGCTGTTTTTCAAAAAAGCATGTTTTTACCTGTCACAGGTGTGACATGTATATAATATAGGTATATAAAAACATGCGCGTATTCGAATGCAATGTTGTGTCAAAATTTCAAAGCAATCGGTGAAGAACTTTCGGAGATTTAAGATTTTGAACAAATGAACATTTACATTTTTATTTCTATAGATTGATTGATAATTAATCCACAGTGTGCTAGTGCCCGATCACACCTACTACAGTATGTGTTACATACTAGTGCCTCTGAGAAAAACCCATTCTTCCCTCTGATTATATGAGTAATTTTCATCCCCCAGTGCCTTTCACAAGACCCCTCTAATCTCCTATAATTATGGTGACCTTATTTTCTTGGAAAAAAGTAAAGGACAAACCTGCAAAAGGGGCAAATCTGAAAAAAAGGTTTATAACAGTGAAAAAAAATGTTTATATTTATAACTTTTCTTTACAGAGGAAAATTCAACAGCTAATTCAAGAAAAAAAACTGTGCAAACCTCCATATTCTAATATAAATATGTGAAATCAAAGCGTATGTGTACATTTGTTTTAAAAAGACAATTCAATATCCGTATTTTTCACATGACTGGGAAAGACTGTGCATTAAGTGGGACCCTATATACTGTAAAAGTGAAATGACCAAAACAAAGGACAAATGTGAGCTTTTGAGAAGCAAATAAATCTAAAACACTACTTTCTGAAATACAGGACTATTCTTTACAATAAAGGACATATGTCACTATACCTATCTTATACAGCTTAACGCTATAAATCCTCCCCCCCCCCTCCGGCTGATTTCACCGGATAGGCCTCTAAACGCGAGAACTCCACGCATCCGCGGGTCCCCGTTTAGCGAACTTCTCAGCCGAGCAGCGCCGGGCCAGATGTCAGCGAACCTGCAGGTGTGCGCTTCGACAGAAGGGACAGTTGAGGCAGGGGCGGGGCGCTCTCATCGCGCGTGGCGGCCGGTGCAGGTGGCAGTTCCGAGCGTCGCTCGCCTTCCTGTCTTCGCGGACTGGGGAGCAACTGTCGGAAGGCGGGTGGGAGGAGTCGGTGTGCAGCGCAACCCGACGCAGCGCAGCTCAGAGACCCGGGCGGCCGTACAAGGCCCCGAGTCCGCGCGGCATCCCTGCAAGAACTAGGGAGGGAGGCAGAGAGAGAGCGAGAGGCGCTTGCCTCGCCTTTCCCAGTCCGGGGCAAGCGCAGGGTCGGTTTTGTCCAGAATCGCGCTGCGCATGGCGAGGGTGGAGGAAACAGCCTTTCGACGAAACGGGAGCGGGAGACTGGCATGAAGCGACTGGAGCAAGAGTCTCCCCCTCCATCCGTCGTCCCCAGAGGAGATGGCGAGTCATCTGACCTGAAGTGCCCGTAATCTCGCTGCTTCTTTGGGGTACTTTTCAGTGAGTGTTTGAACCGGGATTCCGGAGAAAGCTTGGGTTGCATTTCATTTGCCCCGGTAGCTTTGGAGGCAGCGCTTCGGAGCGTGTGCCAATTTCCCCTGTCGCTCCTGAAGCCGGAGGAACACGCTCACTGCAGTTGGGTCTCCCAAGCCCGTTTCAGTTCGCCCTGCCCGCCGCCTCCCCCCGCCCAACAAATTAGCTCCTGATTGAAAGGAGACCTCTTCGTGCTCGTCAGATGCAAAAGATCCTTGCTTGTTTTCTTCCCGGCAGACTCGTCTTTCTAGGTGGGAGTGTGCGTGTGTGTGCGCGCGTGTGTATGCGCGCGCGCCCGCGTGTGTTTTGTTTGTGTCTTGGATTCGTGGGCGGCGGTGACGTTATGCCGCTACATCTTCCAACTGCGATGCTTTGCTTACACGTAGTTCTTGCAACGGTTTGGGATAAGGAAGAAATTGGCAGCCCGCGGAGTAAATATGGGGAAGCAATGAAACCCCCCGTTTTCCTTTGGGCGATTTGGTCTGCCCAGGTATAAGGAGGGTATAAACCCTCCTTTCCTTCAGCTTCGCCCTGACGGCTCCCGAGCAACTTATAGAATTCAGAATTTACAGGCGAAAACTGCAAGGAGGCTTTGCAATTACAGGCGGGCATGTTCGAGGAAATCCTTTCGAAGTATCGCTTGCATAATATGATTTACTACTACTCAGAGCTGTGATAATTTCTATCCAGAATAGTGTAAGAGAAGGACTTCTTGGATGACTCTGGTGGAGATGAGGAATGCAGCCTTGGTAGGAGTTTTACCTTCATCGTTCTTCCTTTTAGTTCATTAGCCACAGGAATGCCTCCTGACAAGTCCCTGCACTTTTCTTATCAAGATTTTAGAAGTGGCTTGCCATTGTCTTCTTCACAGAGCTGAGAGAGACTGCTGACACTCAGAACTCACAGTGTCCTGATTTCTAGCCCAGTGCCTTAAGCACTATGCTAAACTGGCAGTCTTGCATCTTAGTTGTTCATAGGGGCTTGGAAATTCAATGATGGGTGCTTGGTGACAGGTAAAAGGGTAAGAGTTAGTCTTTCCTTCCAGCAAAATCCACAGTGAGGAGTTTAAAGTAACAATTGTAATGGCTGCTAGTATGATTTGGGGAACAACTTACAGTCAATGAAATGACCTCAGCTAGTTAGGCATTCAACCTGGATCTGGAAATAAGTTGCAAGCAAAGGAGTGGATTTGAGCTGGGAGAGCCAGCATCAGTTCATATGCTCCTGTTTTGTTTTGTTTTTTGTTTTTTTTGCTATCTGTATTAGAACTGAGTTGGTCCAAAGATCTAGCTCCTTCTTCACTGAATTTGGCTCCTTCTTCACTGAATTTGAGGGTCTTTTAATGACCTGCAATGTTTGGGGATTTTGGGATTGTTTTTTTTAAATATTGTGTTGGGATATTACTCTTTTTTAAAAAAGAATAATTAATTAAAGAATAATTTGGAGGTTACTCATGAACAGAAATCCAATGTATTAATCCTATCAGTTAAATACAGTTATAATGTTCCTCTCTTTTGCGATTGTAGAAAACTTCTAATTTTTTTACTTACTTCTAGTAGTTTTTTGTTCTTTAGTATATAATCTAAACCTGAGTTTCCTATTCTGTCCTGAATCTCTTATAGCGTCTTATTTATGACTTGTTATTTTAAATTTAATTTTTTAAAGTTGTTTAATTTTATACTGTCTTTTAAATTTTCCTTAGTGGCTTTTAAAGGCTTTGATAAAGGATAAACATATTTTAATTTTTTAAAATATGAAAATTTATTGCTATCACATGGACAACGAATGTTTGTTTATGCTTCTGGCATTGATTCCAGACAGTTTAGTGCCAAGTAATTCTTGTTCCTTACTCCCAATCTCTAGTGCAAAATGGACGAGCCTGAATGAAAATTCAGGAACAATCTTAATTTGCAGAGTCGAGATTTGAAAGTCATTAAAGACTGATGTGAATAGTTCCGGAAAATGAAGCTTGAACTGTTTGGGTACCTAATGCATAATTCATGTGAGAGCATGGAGCACTACAAGAAAATGGATTCCTACTGTGCAGTAAATAAGTTTATTTGATTTATGTCTTGTCTTTTATTTTGTATGTTAAGGTGGTATACATACTGTAGAATTTTCCCCACAACCCATGATTTAGGGTGATCTAGGATGGTGTGACTGCTCCAAAGTCACCCAGGAAGCTTCTACATTTGAGGATAGACAAGGATATAGTTCCTGCTCATAATCCATCCCCTCAACTACTAATCAGCTTGGATTAGTTTTTGATTTCTCAGTGTAAACATAATTATTGATGGACAAAGTGGATTGTAGATATAGAATACATGAAGCTATATTCTATATGTTTTTGTCTTAATCACCAAACAAATGACTGAATAATAAGTAAAATTAGAAGGGAGAACATTCCTCACTTTGGAGCCTTGTTGGAATTTGAACATTTCAGGAGTTGAAATTCCAAACATCTGGAAAGATACTAGCTTGGGAAATAGGACTCCCTATTCCAGTGGTGGCGAACCTATGGCATGTGTGCCAGAGGTGGTACTCAGACCCCTCTGTGGGCACACACACTGTCGCCCCAGCAGAATTTGCCAGAGTAGCGAGCATGTGGCGTTTGGAAGTGACAGGGCAGGAAGTGAGCAAGCAAGTGGCGTTGGCCCCCTGGGAATGCCCTGGAGATGGCGAGGAATTAGTCCCCACCACCCTGGTCCCAGCCCACCCACCCCGGCCATGCTCACCCAGTCTGCTGTGACCACCGCAGCTGTGACCACCACAGCTATGCCCACTCAGTGGCCATGCCCACCCAGTGGGCCACGCCCCCTGCTTCTCCTGAGAGCAACACAATGCTGATGTAGCCCTAGCACTTTGCAATAAATAAGTAGGTTTTGGGTTGCAGTTTGGGCGCTCGGCCTCTAAAAGATTCTCCATCACTACCCTATTCAGTACAATACAAAATTATATTTATCCAAATGAGAATTTTTCTTTTTGTGGTTGGGCAGTTTTTGGACAATAGGCATAGAGTTTGTCTTGGATGTCAGAGTTCCTTAATCCTTGAAAAATCTGCAATATTCTGTAAAATATTCTGCAAAATTCTGTAAAATTTATGGAACAGGATTTTCCCCACTATAAACAATTGCCAGATAATATTGTGTATCGAAATATTTGGTAAAGAATGCTGAGGTTTTACTTTGCTTCTTCCCATTTGCTAGCTATACTGGTTCTGCATATGGTATGGACCTTTCCTTCCTGTTCTCTGGAGCCTCAGAATGAATTTTACATAATCCTGTGGTGAAATACAATTGCAAGTGAACTGTTGCTCTCATTTGTATTTTTCGCAAACCCCATTTTTTTTTTACATTTACATCTTTTTGCTTGCATTTTTCAGAATCCTATTTTTTCAGTTCTTGGGGTTGCTTATATTTCTTTTCTTTTTTTCTTTCGTTAAAATGTGTGAACTGTGAAAATTCTCTTCAGCACTACCTCATCGTGTTCATCATTCCCTGTCTCCTCAGAAAAGTATTTAATTGATATATACTACACTTGATCTTACGGTAGCTAAAAGGCTGAGAAGCAATATAAACCATTATGAGCATATTTTCTTGCTATGTGAAAAAACCTCATACATTTTGCAATGAGTTTGTTTGAGTCATCTGCCTACTTGTGTTTCTTTTCTGAGCTACATAGGGGAAGATTGATTCCTTCCTCAGCCGCAAGTGGTGCTGGGCTCTTCTTTATTTTCTGTTGCTGAAGTTTTCTCTGTTGAATTTTAGTGGCTGAATGATGAAATATTGACACAATTTCCCATCATGCTGAGTTTGTTTCTTACAGAATTATAAAAAAAATGTCCTAAAATAAGCTGATTTTTAATATGATCAAACATCTAGAAAAAACAAATCAAGTGCTCCATCCTCAGTGTTAAATAGTGGCATTAATTTTCAAAATGCTTCCCAACCCTGTTCACAGTCTAGGATTTGACTATTGAACAATACAACAGGTGTGTTGTTTTCATTTTCTGGCAAAGTGCAGCTCACTGATTACACAAGCTAAGGGTTCAGAAACAAAGTTGGTTAATAGAGCTGAAAGAAATGCTAGTTAGATTGAAGGAAATATATGCAATCCTGTTTCCCCTTTTGGGGGTATAGAATACAAATTGACACACTTCTTGTATTCTCTGATCTGGAGACTCAGCTTGCAAAACTGAATCCATTGGGGCATTTTCATTTGCCTCCTGGTGACACTACTAAACATTAAGCAAGTTTTTACTGTATAAGAATAATGCTCTTTTTCACTCAAAAGGAGGAAAAAAGATACTAAGTCATAATAGCTGGAGGTTGCCACCTATATTCAAAATGCAAATAGAGATGCAATTTATTGTTCTTGGATTGACATTTCATCATAATATTAATCTTTTTTTAATTGTTGACTGTTTTTATATTATTATTTTATAGATTTTTATTGTATGTCACCCAGAATCATGTTTTATATAATGAGCAGCCATATAAATAGGATGACTAAATAAATATGTGTGTAAATATTTAGCACCTGGACATATATATCCCGATGTTGGAGAGCAACTGTCCCAGTTGGGAGGAGGGCTCAAGTAGGGAATTAGCCTGGACTCATTACATAAACACATGAGGGCAATGTCTGACCAAATACTCCACTCAGTATCAAGGATGCAGCTGTAGAGGTGGTCAACAGTATTAAGTATCTTGGGGTATAGATAACTAACAATCTGAATTGGTCTCTCCACACCTTATCCATAGTGAAGCGTGCAAACCAGCATCTGCACTTCCTGCATCAGATGAGAGACCACATCTCTTTCTTTCTGTCCTGGCCACTTTTTACAGAGGCACGATTGAGAGCATTTTAACAAACTGCATCACTGTCTAATTTGGTGGCAGCAGTGCCTCAGAGAGAAAGTCCATACAGAGATTGGTAAGGACAGTTGAGAAGATCATAGGAAGCTT